AACAACGAAATTGATAGCGACGGATGAATCTGTCTCGACCGTTGTCCATTGATATTTTTCCGGAATGGCATAACTCCCATGTGTGCAAAAGGCGAAATAAGCCCATAAATGAATTTCATATTACATGTCCGACCAGTTTCCGGAATCATTGAATAAAAACTAAACCATAGTTTCGCTACCAAAATCAGTACACAGAAATATCATATCAAAATAATCCCTGCTCGAATCTATGCGCTTCAGCCATCTGAAGGGAGTCGATTGTATTAAGCTGTAAGTTTCTGTCGAAACCTGTATCTTGCTGTAGATGGCGTTGAAAAACGATGCAAGTTATCGTCGATGTTCGTGGACTGTTGCCCATCACATCACCCAGACATGGCCCACTTCGAACATCAGTTTGGCCAGTTGAAGGACTCACCGCATGGAGTACGCTTGGAATACGGAAGACTATGAAAATCGGAGTGGAGAGCTCGGCATTTATTCTGAGACTGATTTCGTGTGGTTTAAATCGACTATTTAACCTCACGGTTATTCTTTCCCGGTTACTCCGGACGCAGCGACTGAACAAACCGTTGTTTATTATAACCTTATTTTATTATATTATTAACCGTTGTTTATAATCGGATCTGATTGCTCCGTGATTGCAAATCGGTCCTGGTTGCTGTTGTTATAGTGTATATTTGATTCGGAGTATTTCTCAACGCAGTCAAATTGAAGAAAAGAAACAATGCCATGAAAAATATCTATTATAAAACAATAAACCTTTTAATCCAAATTATGGTCAACTGACTGATGCATTTTTTCAATGCCCAGATTTTAGTCGGCTCAGGATAATCGGCATGAGTTATGACCCCAGATATACAGGGAAGACCAAAAAAAAAAACTTCGGTTATCTTTATCACTCCGCAGAACTCGTCCCCAAAAGTGTGCTAAATTGCAACAGAGCCTCCGTATAGAACCGTTCATTCAGCTTTCTTATTATGTCAACTGAATAAAGATACGTGACACGACTTTCATGCAATCAGATGAAGAGCATAAGAGGAAAAGTTGGTGCCATGCCGCGATGGCAGCTAGTGAATGCAAGAGGTCGCCTACTCGCCAAAACTGAAGGAATGGACGTCACCTGGAGCACATCTTCTAAGATACTGTTAAGTGCATTTTTAATGCGCCACCTCTGTTACACTGTGCGCAATAGTATCGGAATGACGGATTGGATCTTAAGTCTTTTTATATCAGTGAAAAGCTAGATAAATGTTCTATATGGAGATGTTAGTGCAATATTTCCAAACCCTTGAGAAACTACGCTGTATAGTGTTAAAGATAAAGGAAGTTTTTTTTTTGGCCCACCCTGAAGTAAATCTGTCGCTGTAAAAGGGACTTAGAGATCAGTCACATCCTCTCGTCTTTCCTTGAGATTCCCATCGTGAAGGGAAAGGTCATCCTCAGATGAGGGATCCTCCTTAACATCTTCGGAAACAGGCGCTTGCTGGACTTGAACAGAAGAGATCTGCGAGAGATTTTTCTTCCGCCTCCATTCCAAGAGCGTCATGGCAATAACGAGGAGGAGGAGGGGCATCCCCGTGACGAGCAACTGCGCTACGGCGGGCACCATCCCCACATCCGCATCCGGGTTGGGCAGGGATAGCTTGAGCACGACCATAGCGACGGCGCCGTTCTGCATCGCGACCTCGATGGACACCGCCTTGATTTGGGGCGTGCTGAGACGGAAGATGCGCGCCGCTGTCGCTCCCAGCGAGAAACCGCCGACGGCGAGAATCATTCCTGCCAGGACCATTTTCCAGGTCATCAGCTTGAACAGGAAGAGGTTGCTGTAGATGCCGATCTGAGTAAATATGAGCATGGATTTTAAAAATGAATTTCTAAAGTCAAACCGATTAAAAACGTTTCATGAGAAAAAGTCAATGAGAAAAGCTCGGACTAGCTCCTATGATAAAAGCAATCTGCAACTTGCAGGCATGCAAGTTTGAGTTCGTCAAGTCGCAAGTTGGATGAGGAAAAATAATCCCCCTTCGTCCAAAGATGTAAGTCATTAAAATTTGTTGATGATTTCAGTTTGCCCTACAGGTAACTTATAATAGGAAACATCTTGTATTCAACAAACAAAACGTACGCATTAAGATTGCACTTGGTAGCTACGAAAAGCCTGACAATGTCATGCACTCTCAAAGTTTCTCGCGCTGACATGATTAGTCACTCTTAACGCCCTTCTTGATTAGCAGATTTTGGGAACATGCTATTCATGTACGGCAAAACAAGAAGTCGCTCTTCTGGCGATGGCAGCCAACGGACAGGGTGGCCAAAAATCACCAAAATCAGGTTGAAAACAAAAATGATAATTAAATAAAATAAAGAATTTAAAAGTTACAGCGCATCGTATAGATTGACCATATCACGAGTCAAAAACCAGGAAAACTAAATCGCACAAGAATCAAATTCTCACCTTAAGCGCCACTCAGCAGCAAGCACAACTCGGTGCTCGCACATTTTAGCAACAACACGATGTGTTACCGTTGCAATGCCATGTATGATGCGCCTGATTTTCTTGAGCTGCTGCAGATTACCGGAATGGAATTCGCGATACAATTTTCCCTTCAAATGCCACCCTCCAAAAAAAAAAAATAAGGTGGTGTTAGGTCAGAGGAACGTTTAGGATATTGATGTTTAGAAAAAAAAAACATTTGGATGTGGAAACCTCTGCGGAAAATTGTCATATTTGAATTGACGAACACGGTGAGAATACGAAGGGGGGGGGGGTATAAAAGTAGTGGCAAGTCCAAAGTTTGAGACCAAACCACTAAAGTAATTTCCCCACATAGTCCAAAATTATTATAAATTTTTATTCCGAAATTGCCACTGCTTTCGCGCCCACTCTCGTACAACCGTTTCTCACCCTGTACGTCGATGTGGTTTTGGACTTCTTGGGTTTTTAAATCATGATTTGGTCACGTGATACGCTGCTTAGGAGGATGCACGGATAGCACAATTCACAATTGAATACACTGGCTTGTTTTTTTTTAGCAGAATTGTATTGATTTTTTTTTTTGGAGGGGGCCCTTCACAACAGGGAGGTGATACATTTGCGCAGCATCCATCAGTGCAGGTACCCTAACAGGACTGAAAGTACCAGCTTTCATTTTCCGTTAGGGAATTCCTTTTTGGACCAAATGCGACTGGATGGGTCTTCTCTTCGGGTCAGTAACTCCGAATTGTGTGTTACTAGTAGCGCTAGTGAAACTGGAACAACAAATAATCCTGAGCTATTCTACACCTTTCCACGTTTCATGAAAATCTGGAGATGACTTTTATTATTCACGGGCAGGTGCACGCACACGCGTACACAGACGCATGCACACATGCACGCACAGAAACATACAAGTCAGATTCATGTCTGTTTCTGCTTTCGTATCGGTGCCTGGATCTTCTGTTTATTATTATTATTATTATTATTATTATACGATACGCTTTCATGCTGAGTTGATGGTGGTATATGGTGGTATATTGATAGTGGTATATGGAAAACCGTGTTCGGACATCCCTGCTGCTGCAGGCATCATTAAATGGAATTTCGGAGCCAGCCTGCATACAGCCATCCTCGCCGAGTCAGAGAAACTCCCGAAATGCCCATCATCCGCCTTAAGTGGCAAGCCCCGACCGAGATAGTACGAGGAACTCAAGGTTAGTTCAGTGCAAATACCAGAGATAGGTCTAATAGACCTGCAAGTCGATGGCTGAGACGCTTTTAAGTGAAAAAAGGTAGGCCTGAGTCTGACCTGAAGACAAATTGAGGGTAAAGACCCCAGGGGGTCTGGATGCCGATTCTGATGATGAGTCGTATATCATTAATTGGTTATCATTTTGGTTATTAAATCTAGGATATGACAATGGATAGCCTTTGAAAAATTGTTTTCATACTATTCATGCGTCATTGGTGCCAAGGTGATGGATCCTAATCGTTCCTGCAGCGCTTTAGCAAGTTTTTGCCATTTTTTTTTTTCGGAAGCTCCAAAGTTTCGTTCGAACATTTCGTTCGGAGGTGAAGTTCTCAGAGATGCAAATACAGGGAAAACTCGTTAACTCGAATCGTGACAAGTCGAAATTCCGCTTATTTCGAAGTTCGATGCTTGGTCCCGGCGGAATCCCGTAGGACTCCACGTTAAATGCTCCGTTTAACTCGAATTCGGTTATCTCGAATTTCCGGATATCCGGAATTTCCGGTTATCTCGAATTTCCGGATATCTCGAATAACATTTTCACTCCCGACAACGATTTTCTCACGGTTAACTCGAATTCAGGGTGCGAAGGCAGAAAAAAAAATCACTTCGAGCCGATCTAGTCATATTCTATTTCTTTTACGTCATTGGTGTGGAATGAGCCAACTCGAGAGGAAACTGGAAACTCTGAGGCTCGAAAAGAATTCTTGATTCGGACTCGATGCACAACCGCCATCTTTGAGCGATGCCAATAAAGCACTCTGAGAAAATCCCACCTCTGGGAAAAATTATTAAATTAATTTTGCATATGGAGTATCGAAGTTTCCCTCGCGAGGAATAAAAGCCAATCATAATGAGAAGGTCATCGCTTCGTGAAATCGGATTTTTTTAAGGATGGAAAAATCGCCCTCTGGTTATATCCCTTAACGTGAGGATTTTTTGCTAGATTTTACTCGGTATTTATCCTTGGCTTGGAGAATGATTGACTTGGAATTCGTATTCAGTTGTAAACGATATTGAAGTAGCCATGGATCTTTGTCTCGCTGTTCATGAGTATGAACTTGAAAAAAAGTACGAGTAGGGGCGCTGTCGAATATTAAGGAAACAACACTGACACAGGGATGTGAAAATCCTAGTTTAAGTTCGGCTCAGTCATCGCCTCAATCGACTAACTACAATGCAACGGAGACGATAGAAGGATTACCGTGGAACCGCAGCTGAACTATGACATCAGGTTGAAAAAGAATGACGTATCTAAAATCGTTGTGTTCATCAATAACCAAGCAACGTGGTGTTCACATTTGACTTTCTTCCAAAAGAAGGAAGAATCCCACTCTTGAGAAAACTCTTGGAAGGGGCGAACAACGGAATAATCCTTGCCGTGAGATTGAAAATGAGGATGAGGAATGTGAAAGGACGGATGATCCGGTTGGATATGGCCGCCCACTTGGGCCTCTTCAGCTTGATGAGCAATCCGCAAGCGAGAGGGACGGTGAGAAGGAAGAGGGAGAGTGCGAGCTGGCTATAGGGGATTTGGATTGTGTATTCCCCCTTCGGAGTCAAGTGTCTGGCGAGCATCCACATCCACAGCGGCATCATCCCTGCAGACCAGTATGAGAAGGAACAAGCGGTTAAAAAAATATTGTCACAGTGAACCGTGATGGGAATGGATGGTTTGCTTGATGGGAAGATAGGGACGAGAAAGAGAACTCACCGAGAGCAGCGATTGTGGAGATGGTAGTCATTGTGATGCTCAGATTCACATCCCCGCGTAGGAGGAGGTTGTAAAAATTGGAATTCGTTCCGCCAGGGGAACAGCCCAAGACGAAAAGACCCAACCTGGTAAAGCTGTCCTCGAACAACCATAGGCTCGTAAAAAAAGACACCTGTGAGAAATTGAACCGTCAGAAGTCAGGTCTCTTTGGAATATCATGACAGAGTCAGATTACTAGGATTATTACCACGAACTGACACATTGGCATGTCGATCGGTAACCAACATACTGGAATCACAACTTAACCAGCAAGTACACTACTAACCAGAGGCATTACGGTGAACTGAGAGAAGAAACCGACGGCTGGTCCGATCGGCCGTTTCAATGTCTCCTTGATGACATTGAGATCCAATTGGCACCCCATATTCACGTTATTCACCACAACCATGCACGTGAGAACTATCATGAAGATTCGATCGATGATCCTAATCTGCCGTAATATCGTGACCTTCACGACTTCTTCGGCCACGACGGAACCCGTTTGATCTGTGAGCTTGATGCGAATGCCTGTGCGACCCAGCCAATGAGGTAGAAGCTTCAGCGTCACGTTCTCGCCGACGACCACGATCATCCTTGGCTCGACGACCTCCAATCTCCATGGCTCTTCCGGTTCTGCGACGAGAGTCAGGGAGAGATTCCCGACATCGAAACTTTGCTGGACCATAATGAGCACCTCCCCCTTCTCCCCCTCTGTCAACGGCTCCACAGGGAAAACCTCCACTCCCGTCTCCACCCCGCCAGACACGACACCGAAGACACAGACGAAGCAAAAGACGGCGAATCCCTCCATGACCCTATTCTCGACACGGTGCGAAGCGACGCGAGGCTTCCTCTATAACTGAGAGACACAACGGGCTTTCAATGAAACTTGTTTACAATGAACCAATCGCACCCAAGGTCACGGGTGATACCGACGGAGAGACTGCTTTGTATCTCCATCCCCTTGCGATTGAGAGGCCGATCTTGCTTGACAGACGCTCCCCAGTGTAGTGACTTTTTTGCGAATGTGATCGATGTTACAACGTCGTATTCATCACTGTCACCGGAAGATCCTTTCGGAAGACGATGAGGCGGTGAGAAATGAGACAGCATCACCTCTCAGTTGTGAGATCCTTTATGAGTAAGAACGACCGCGACCATTCAGGAAGACAGGAGAGAACCCCTAATCCTTTCGAATTTATTGACATTCCTTGCAACGGAGCCGAAAATATTCAGCGATCGTCACTCTCAATCCACATGAATCAGAGGATGAAAATCACTGCTGAATGAAGGAGGAAACGGTTCATTCATCGGAATGACAAGGTTACTGGATCCAGCAGACCTTGACGAGGCGATATGAGCCCCCCCCCCCCCCCTCTTTCACCTTGCATTGTGTGATTTACACTGGGAGCGTCGGCCTTCTCCAAGGATTTCCATGCGTGGATTTTCAACGAACCGAAACAAAAGTGAGGAAATGTCATAAGTGCCTGTGCAGGCCAGAAAGAAACTCAACGATCGGCAAAGTAAAAGTCAAAATGAATTTGAAAGGAACTCAAATCACAGATACGTCTTCACTTCACTTAACTTAACTTAACTTAACTTAGCTTAACTTCAGCTACCGCTTCAACGGGAAGAAGATATAGCTAATTATGGAATTCCATTATTTCAATTTTGTTTAACGCGAGTATGAGCTGCTGTTATCGACTTCCTAGCTGCTGGAAAAAGCTTGCCGCGCACCTTCACTAGTTTTATTTCATGTGACGAAAATTCATTTTATAGGAAATTCTCTGAACTCCGGACTCCCCGATCCCCAGTGCTTGTGTGATTTACAAATTCAGCAACACTGGGGATTAGGCATTTGGCCATGAAAATCTCCTACGATTACGGTTTTGCGGTTTTGGATCCTCGCGGATTATCCGCGATTGAATGACTCTTTCTGGCCGCGAAATCGCGTTCGACCCCGTCAAATTGACGCAGCAAGCGAAACTTTAGCTTGCAGAATTTGCAGAATTGGATTTGCACTCGTGGTGCAAATCCAATGATTCCACGGCCAGGAAAAGGCCATGTTGCGAGGAGGAAAAGGAATGTTGCATCTCCATTTATTTTAAAACATAAAAAAATAAACGTACAATCCTTATTTCCAATCCTTATTGCCAATCTATGCTCTCTCCCAAAGAAAGCTACAAAAATGGACTTCAGTTTTTGCACTTCCAAGCATTTCAAGTTCGACGAAGAAGAATTCAGAAATTGCGACCAAACGTTTTCCACGGGTTACATTCCGTCCCCAACAGCGACGATTCTCTGGGCAAAAAAAGCTATACGTGTGTACCTTTCTCATCTCTATTCATTTAGGGATTAAGGGCCTTAATCCCTGTTTACTGACCCCACTCATCAGCTTTGAAGAGAGCTTTAACGGCACTTTGTGACTAATGACGTCATCACGTCTCCGCCTGGCATCGAGCTGTCACTGACAACATGCCGGCTGTCTCACGCGCAGTCTCCAAGCCATCACGGAGGCAATAGAAGATCGCTTTGCTTTAGGAGAAAAAACTTTCAATTTTATTGAAAGTAGATCTCTCACTTGTTTGAGGGAGGAAGCTCATAACCTTTTGGTTCACTCTGCTCCCGTACGAAAACCCCAGCATTAAAAATTATCCCGAATCATCGTTGTCATTGAAACAAGATAATTATACTTTTATTAAATACTGCTTTACAAGTACCATGATCTGATAAATAAAAGGAAAAAAGAAAACTCTTCTCTTGAGGTCCAGCGCGTCCTCACTCGAGCTCGAATGCTCGGGGGAACATAAGCGCCATCTTGTGCCATTTTTTAGTACGAGAACCTGAACATCATTACCTTTCTTCAACCCCTTCCGCCGACAAAATTCAACCGCATTCCTCTCTGAGAGCAACAACAGGAATGAAATTTGGCACACTTCTTCCTCTCTCAACACAGAATCGCTCCAGCAAATTTGAAGCTCCATCTCCCCCCGAGTTGCGGATCACCTTGAATCTCGCTTTCGGGAGATGTCAATTTCGTTCCGGTATTTTTATTTTTTTTTTATTTTTTCACCTACCTGGATAACCACACCTGGGCAGTTCTCAGAGAAAGTGTCAAAGATATTGACCTGGAAGTGACAAAAAGTCCCTTTTTTTTGCTTTCAGTGTTCCACTTCGCCATTAAAAAAAAATGAAATTAGATGCCGTTAATTTAGGCTTAGCGCAATGGCTCCGGTCCCGTCCTCCAGTGTTGCCGGATATCGTGCCGGTGTTTTGTCCGATTCACGGCGTCTCAGCCTTAGCATCGTTGCCTGGATCTTCTCTCTTTTAAATTTAGGAAACTTCACCGTCCTGAATTCACGTGGTGAGCCGAGATTGAAGCGGATTGAATGAATCTAAATCGGGATTGACCCCAACTTTGTCAGATCCGGATTTAATCCCCGAGCAATTAAATTCTCGAGCAGACGAGATGGAACCGACGACAAAAATAGCTCCGACATGGAACAAGTCGACCAAAACTATATCGAAAAGTTTCGGTCGTCCCACCGGCCAAATCGATCGGACGAGATGAAGTAGATTAGTCGGACAATGCTGACGACGAAAATCTGCTTTGTCTTCGATGGCCGCTGTGCCGGATATTAATATCCAAGTGCAAAAAAAATCGCGCTTTTCCCATCCCGTTAGCTGCTTGGAATTTTTTGCGCCTGCAAATTCCATTATTTGAATAATATTGGCCTTGAGCAGAAAACCGCTAAAATCCGAAAAGGCACATCTGTTGGGTCAAAACAGTCGTAAATAAATTTTGACCGAATTTCGCCGACTCTCTGGGTGCAGCTTAGTCAGAAAAATCCTCCAGATGAATGGAGGAGTCAAACAGGATTCAAGAAGTCATGCGAATCGATTCTGATGGCTTTGCTGGATTTCACACTAAGCTCATTAAGGACTGTGAGCACTAAGCTCACTGTCGTGCTCAGACTAACTGAAAATTTACGATTTTAGACAGAATCTTTTTCCGAACTCGGAGGGACCACGAGTTCGGTGCGTGTTTCGATTCAGTGCGACTGGTTCCATTAACAGCTGGGAGCATCTCGAGCTGGGAGCATCTCGAGCTTGGAGCATCTCCAGCTAGGAGCATCTCAAGCCTGGAACATCAGTTTCCATGCCTTCCTTATCTAATAGCTTATACAGTGTGATTGAAAAGTTACTGTGAATTCACGACATAGCGTAGGAGGTCTCTTTGTAGACGGAAAGTATAGACAATATATGACGTGAATGGCGGTGTTATTGTGGTGGTGGTACAGTGGTGCTAATATATTAAATGTTGTGAACGTGAATTTATATATTTGATGCTGTGTGATACACAGTATAGCATTAAGTAAATGCCACAATATACATTAATTGCACTGCACAGAGACTTTTCTATCACCCTGTTGTAATATTTATTATTATTATTTATCCAATCTCGCATTTCGGGCGGATCCACACCAGCTCGGATCGAATCGTTCCGAACCAAATTGAAGCTTTTCCTCTAGGAAGCGTTATATCGTTATTTTTTCCCCTCCATGAATTATCTCTACATTTTCAGTCGTCGATCAGCTGATTTCCCTGGCAGAATAAAAAAATGAATTTAGATGCAATGAAAAAAAAATTGAACAAATATTTCGCATTAAAAAGACGCGTGAATGAGGTATGACTTACCTGTAAAAAGTTTCATATGAGAAAAGTTTGATATGTGAAAAGTTTGATATGTGAAGTTTGATATTTGAAGTTTGATGTGAAGTTTGATATGTGAAGTTTGATATGTGAAGTTTGATATGTGAAGTTTGATATTTGAAGTTTGATATGTGAAGTTTGATATGTGAAGTTTGATATGTGAAAAGTTTGATGTGAAGTTTGATTTGTCTTAGGTCGTAGATACGTACCTCATGAACTCTGACACGAAAAGGACTACCAAATGAAGAATGCAGCTGTTTATTTTGTTATATGAGCTGTTATCATCCATCTGGAGACAGACGATGCCCTTGAAGGACACCTCGCACTAGACCCCATTTCCCCTAGCAAAATGGCGTGCCATCAAATTAGAGAAAATTATTGAAGATGATCCCCTTAGATCTGATGACTGGATTTGCGCTAACAATGCAGTGGTCTCATATTCGTGGCCTTATGCTAATATCCCATTGCAAAAAGAAAAACTGAGGGTTCCTGCAAGAAATATTTATGAATTTGGACTTTTTCCTTCTTGGGATTCCTTGCCGCGATTGATAAGTCTGTCTCGCCCGTTGCCCATCGCTGATGTTCCGAAATGGCATGAATCCCACCTGTGCCGAAAGGGCAAGGCCTCGAAGTGAAAACTGAAGTTCACATCGCATATGGGGAGGAGAAGGAAGTACGATCAGATATGGAGGATTTCTCTTGGAAGTCCTTCATTCGTTCTGTGCAAGCATTACATCCCTCGCCCGTGCATTCTCGAGAAAACTTTCTGTTCTCGTTTCATTGAATCGTATTTATGTAAAATTGATCGTAAATGGTATTCCCAAAAACAGTTAAAGTCGAAGTGGAGAGCTCAGGAATTATACTGAGACCAATTTCTTATTTTAAATATTGGTTCTCTTCACGATTATTCTTTCACGGTTCTTCCGGACTTTGCGACTTGTCACCGAAAGAGAACGCAGGCCGTCGGTTATTGAAGAATCAGATCTGATTTATCTGTGACTGCATAGTCGGTCCTGGTTCGTTGGTGGCTGTCGTTGTGTGTACTCAATAGAAGTATTTTTGCAAGGAAAAATTAAATGAGAGAATTCTATGAAGATCAACGATGAAATTGTAAAATTTTGTGTTCTTCCAATTGAGAACCAAACCACGAACATTCTGATCAGTTCTGTCATTGCCCAGTTCTTAGTCTTCTCAGAAAAATCGGCATCGAAGGTCGAAGGGACCTAGAAACCAGTCGCATCCACTCGTCATTCATTGAGATTCCCATCGTGAAAGAAAGGGTCATCCTCAGATGGGATCCTCCTTGAGGTCATCAGGATCAGGGGGATGCTAGATCTGGTCAGAAGAAGTCGGCGACGGATTTCCCCATTTCCACTCCCAGATCGTCACGACGAGAACGAGGAGGAGAAGGGGCATCCCCGTGACGAGAAACTGCACTACGACGGGCACCATCCCCACATCCGCATCCGGGTTGGGCAGGGATAGCTTGAGCACGACCATAGCGACGGCGACGTTCTGCATCGCGACTTCGATGGACACCGCCTTGATTTGGGGAGCGCTGAGACGGAAGATGCGCGCCGCTGTCGCTCCCAACGAGAAACCGCCGACCCCGAGAATCGCTCCTGCCAAGACCATATTCCAGGTCATTAACTTCAACACGAAGAGGTTGCTGTAGATTCCAATCTGGGGAAATATAAAAAAAAAAGATCCATGTTCATTCATGTAACTGAACCAATGAAAGTGCTTTATGCGAAGGAGATAATGAGAGACACCCGAAGGGAGCGGCACTGTTTTTGTTTAAGGGTGACGGAGGATTTAGTTCCCATGTGACTGAATAGGTGGTCCATATCCCGGCACTCCCTGAGTCATGCAGTTGGTGCGCAATAACGTATAGTATATCCAATATACAGATGGTGGATCAAAGTTATGCCTGTTACGCTTAGACATTATGTTGCTTATTCTTTCAATCTCGCACGCTCAAACGTAGCGTTCGGATCTTCTGTTTACCAGTTAGGCAGTACTCGTATCTGTAGATAGCAGAGCATGAGTTTCAGTCCCCATTGATGTATCATTTCGTCTATGAGAATCTCTCATTGAATGAAATGAAGTCATCTTCCATTTTGTTCTTAAAGACAAAAAAGAATCCCATTTTGGTGGAAACTCTTTGAGAGCCGCGAACGAAGGAATAATCCTTGCCGTGAGATTGAAAAGGACGTTGATGAACGTGAGAGGACGGATGATCCGGTCGGATATGGCCGCCCACTTGGGCCTCTTCTGCTTGATGAGCAATCCGCAGGCGAGAGGGACGGTGAGAAAGAGGAGTGAGAGGATGAGCTGGCCGTAGGGGACTTGGATCGTGTACTCTCCTTCCGGAGTCAAGGATTTTGCCAGAATCCACAACCACAGCGGCATCATTCCTGCAGGGGACCGAATGCGCGGTTTCGTAATCTCATCGTCTAGGTAAAACTTCTTAGAAATAGATGCTTGGCTTGGTGGCTGAGGAAAGCGAGGAAAGGAACTCACCGAGAGCAGCGATCATAGAGATGGTCGTCATGGTGATGCTAAGATCAACGTCCCCGTGAAGGAGAAGGGTAAAAAAGTTGGAACTCGCCCCCCCGGGGGAACAGCCGAGGACGAAAAGGCCCAACCGAGAAAAGCTGTCCTCCAAGAACCACAGGCCCGCAAAATAAGACACCTGTGGGAAACCGAACTGTCGGAGGAGGGAATATCTCTTTGGAACTGCATAAATGAGAGTGTGCGGCCACTAACCAGAGGCATGACGGTGAATTGAGAAAAGAAGCCGACTGCTGGTCCTATCGGCCGTTTCAGTGTCGCCTTGATGACACTGAGATCCAGTTGGCACCCCATGTTCACGTTATTAACCACGACCACACACGTGAAAAATATCAAGAAGAGTTGATCGACGAGCCTCAACTGCCGTAAAATCGTCACCTTCACGTCGTCTTCAACTACGATGGAACCCATTTGATCCGTGACCGTGATGCGAATGCCTGTGCGACCCAGCCAACGAGGTAGAAGCTTCAGCGTCACGTTCTCGCCGTGCACCGCGATGCTCTTCGGCTCGACGACCTCCAATCTCCACGGTTCGTCCGGCTCTGCGACGAGAGTCAGGGAATTATTCTGGAAGTCGAACTCCTGCAGGATCCTGATGATCACCTCCCCCTCCTGCCTCTCCTTCAACGGCTCAACGACGAAAACCTCCACACCCATCTCCACCCCAGGCGCGTAATCCTCCACGCCGACCTCCACCTCCCCAGACACGGCAACGCAGACGGCGAGAAACCAGAGAAATCCCTCCATGACTCCACGTGACGCACGGCGAGACGCGACGAAAGGCTTCCCCTCGCGACGAGATACGATGGGTATGCAATGAAACTGTTTATAACGAAGGTATTGTACACGAGGTCACCGTTGTTCTCAATGGAACGACTTTACCATCTCTTCACCCCTTCGCAACGTAGAAGCCGATTCGGGTTTTCAAACACTCCCGAGACGCCCCAGTTTACGGAGAAAACGAATCGGTCCTTGTCCGAAAGCCAAAGCCACATCCATCACCTGCAGATACATCCAAAGAACAATACAGCTTATCGCTCCTACCTTCCTCCTTGAAGTCTGATAAGGAAACAAGCTTTTTATTCTGGGGAGAAATTTTTTTTCGCTCGGAAAGTTTATTTTCATAGTTCCTATGATTTTAAAATGTGCTTTAAAACGGAAGAGAAAACGCTCTTGCTGGAGGTCGCGAAGGTGCATTTTCAGTCCAGTTTAGCAGTCTAGTCAGCTTAATCAGAAAAAATCTGCAGATGAATGGAGGACTCAAACAGGATTCAAGAAGTCATGCGAATCGATTCTGATGGCATTGCTGGATTTCACACTAAGCTCACTGTAGTGCTCAGACCAACTGAAAATGTATGATTATAGACAGAAGCTTTTTCCGAACTTCGAGGGACCACGAGTTCGGTGCGTGTTTCGATTCAGTGCGACTGGTTCCATTACCAGCTAGGAGCATCTGGAGATAGGAGCATTTCCAGCATGGAGCATCTCCAGCTAGAAGCATCTCGAGCCTGGAACATCAGTTTCCATGCCTTCCTTATCTAATAGCTTATACAGTGTGATTGAAAAGTTACTGTGCAATAGAATTCACGACATAGCGTAGGAGGTCCCACTGTAGACAGAAAGTACGGACAATACACTATATTACGTGCATGGTGGTGTTATTGTGGTGGTGGTACAGTGGTGCTAATATATTAAATATTGAGCGTGAATTTATTTATTTGATGATGTGTGATACACAGTATAGCATTAAGTAAATGCCACAATATACATTAATTCTATTGCACAGTGACTTTTCTATCACCCTGTTCTAATATTTATTCTTATTATTTATCCAATCTCGCATTTCGGGCGGATCCACACCAGCTCGGATCGAATCGTTCCGAACCAGATTGAAGCTTTTCCTCTAGGAAACGTTATATCGTTTTTTCCCCCCCTCCATGAATTATCTCAACATTTTCAGTCGTCGAACAGCTGATTTCCCTGGCAGAAGGAAAAAATGAATTTAGATGCAATGAAAAAAACAACAACAAATATTTCGCACAAGAAAAGACGCGTGGATGAGGTATAACTTACCTGTAAAAAGTTTGATATGTGTTATGAGGTCGTAGATACGTACCTCATGAACTCTGACACGAAAAGGACTACCAATTGAAGTATGCAGCTGTTTATTTTGTTATCTAAGCTGTTATCATCCATCTGGAGACAGACGATGCCCTTGAAGGACACCTCGCACTAGACCCCATTTCCCCTAGGAAAATGGCATGCCATCAAATTAGCGAAAATTATTGAAAATGATCCCCTTAGTTAGATCTGATGACTGGATTTGCGCTAACAATGCAGTGGTCTCATATTCGTGGTCTTATGCTAATATCCCATTACAAAAAGAAAAACTGAGGGTTCCTGCAAGCAATATTTATGAATGTTGACTTTTTCCTTCTTGGGATTCCTTGCCGCGATTGATAAGTCTGTCACGCCCGTTACCCATCGCTGATGTTCCGAAATGGCAAGGCCTCGAAGTGAAAACTGAAGTTCTCATCGCACATGGGGAGGAGAAGGAAGAACGATCAGATATGGAGGATTTCTCTTGGGAGTCCTTCATTCGTTCCGTGCAAGCATTACATCCATCGCCCGTGCCTTCTCGAGAAAACTTTCTGTTCTCGTTTCATCGTTCCACTGAATCGTAATCATGCAAAATTGATCATAAATGGACAGTTAAAGTCGAAGTGGAGAGCTCATGAATTATACTGAGACCAATTTCTTATTTTATATATTGGCTCTCTTCACGATTATTCTTTCACGGTTCTTCCGGACTTTGCGACTTGTCACCGAAAGGGAAGCAAGCCGTCGGTTATTGAAGAATCAGATCTGATTTATCTGTGACTGCATAGTCGGTCCTGGTTCGTTGGTGACTGTCGTTGTGTGTACTCAATAGAAGTATTTTTTTTTTACAAGGAAAAATTGAATGAGAGAATGCAATGAAGATCAACGATAAAATTATAAAATTTTGTGTTCTTCCAATTGAGAACCAAACCTCGAACAAACTGATGAGTTTTGTCATTGCCCAGTACTTAGTCTTCTCAGAAAAATCGGCATCGTGTCGCAGATCTGAATGCCAATCACAAATCAACAAAAGGGTGAGTTATGACCTCAGATGGTGTGAATCTCTCGCTGTCGAAGGGATTTAGAAACCAGACACATCCACTCGTCTTTCATTGAGATTCCCATCGTGAAAGAAAGGGTCATCCTCAGATGGGGGATCCTCCTTGGGGTCATCGGGATCAGGAGGATGCTTGATCTGGTCAGAAGAAGTCGGCGAGAGATTTCCCCTTTTCCATTCCCAGAGCGTCACGACGAGAACGAGGAGGAGAAGGGGCATCCCCGTGACGAGAATCTGCGCTACGGCGGGAACCATCCCCACATCCGCATCCGGGTTGGGCAGGGATAGCTTGAGCACGACCATTGCGACGGCGCCGTTCTGCAGGGCGACCTCGATGGACACCGCCTTGATTTGGGGCGGGCTGAGACGGAAGATGCGCGCCGCTGTCGCTCCCAACGAGAAACCGCCGACCCCGAGAATCGCTCCTGCCAGGATCATCTTCCAGGTCATTAGCTTGAACACGAAGAGGTTGCTGTAGATTCCAATCTGGGGAAACATTAAAAAAATCCATGTTCATTTATGTAACTGAACCAATGAAAATGCTTCATGTGAAGGAGATAATGAGAGACACCCGAAGGGAGCGGCACTGTTTTTGTTTGAGGGTGACGGAGGATTTAGTTCCCTTGTGACTGAATAGGTGGTCCATATCCCGGCACTCCCTGAGTCATGCAGTTGGTGCGCAATAACGTATAGTATATCCAATGTACAGATGGTGGATCAAAGTTATGCTTGTTATGCTTAGACATTATTTTGCTTTTTCTTTCAATCTCGCACGCTCAAACGTTGCGTTCGGATCTTCTGTTTACCAGTTAGGCAGTACTCGTATCTGTAGATAGCAGAGCATGAGTTTCAGTCCCCATTGATGTATCATTTCGTCTATGAGAATCTCTCATTGAATGAAATGAAGTCATCTTCCATTTTGTTCTTAAAGACAAAAAAGAATCCCATTTTGGTGGAAACTCTTGGGGAGGAGGCGCGAACGAAGGAATAATCCTTGCCGTGAGGTTGAAAAGGACGTTGATGAACGTGAGAGGACGGATGATCCGGTCGGAAATGGCCGCCCACTTGGGCCTCTTCAGCTTGATGAGCAATCCGCAGGCGAGAGGGACGGTGAGAAAGAGGAGCGAGAGGATGAGCTGGCGGTAGGGGACTTGGATCGTGTACTCTCCTTCCGGAGTCAAGGATGTTGCCAGCATCCACAGCCACAGCGGCATCATTCCTGCAGGGACCGAATTTCATAATTTCATCGTCTCGGTAAAACTTCTTAAAATAGGTGCTTGGTGACTGAGATAAGCGAGGAAGGGAACTCACCGAGAGCAGCGATCGTAGAGACGGTCGTCATGGTGATGCTCAGATCCACGTCCCCGTGAAGGAGAAGGGTAAAAAAGTTGGAACTCGCCCCCCCGGGGGAACAGCCGAGGACGAAAAGTCCCAACCGAGAAAAGCTGTCCTCCAACAACCACAGGCCAGCAAAATATGACACCTGTGGGAAACTGAACCGTCGGAGGGGGAAATATCTCTTTGGAATTGCGCGAATGAGAGTGTGTGACGACTAACCAGAGGCATGATGGTGAACTGAGAAAAGAAGCCTACTGCTGGTCCTATCGGCCGTTTCAGTGTCGCCTTGATGACACTGAGATCCAGTTGGCACCCCATATTCACGTTATTCACCACGACCATACACGTGAGAAATATCAAGAAGAGTTGATCGACGAGCCTCAACTGCCGTAAAATCGTCACCTTCACGTCGTCTTCAACCACGATGGAACCCATTCGATCCGTGACCGTGATGCGAATGCCTGTGCGACCCAGCCAACGAGGTAGAAGCTTCAGCGTCACGTTCTCGCCGTGCACCGCGATGCTCTTCGGCTCGACGACCTCCAATCTCCACGGTTCTTCCGGCTCTGCGACGAGGGTCAGGGAATTATTCTGGAAGTCGAACTCCTGCAGGATCCTGATGATCACCTCCCCCTCCTGCCTCTCCTTCAACGGCTCAACGACGAAAACCTCCACACCCATCTCCACCCCAGGCGCGTAATCCTCCACGCCGACCTCCACCTCCCCAGACACGGCAACGCAGACGGCGAGAAACCAGAGAAATCCCTCCATGACTCCACGTGACGCACGGCGAGACGCGACGAAAGGCTTCCCCTCGCGACGAGATACGATGGGTATGCAATGAAACTGTTTATAACGAAGGTATTGTACACGAGGTCACCGTTGTTCTCAATGGAACGACTTTACCATCTCTTCACCCCTTCGCAACGTAGAAGCCGATTCGGGTTTTCAAACACTCCCGAGACGCCCCAGTTTACGGAGAAAACGAATCGGTCCTTGTCCGAAAGCCAAAGCCACATCCATCACCTGCAGATACATCCAAAGAACAATACAGCTTATCGCTCCTACCTTCCTCCTTGAAGTCTGATAAGGAAACAAGCTATTTATTCTGGGGAGAAATTTTTTTTCGCTCGGAAAGTTTATTTTCATAGTTCCTATGATTTTAAAATGTGCTTTAAAACGGAAGAGAAAACGCTCTTGCTGGAGGTCGCGAAGGTGCATTTTCAGTCCAGTTTAGCAGTCTAGTCAGCTTAATCAGAAAAAATCTGCAGATNAGAGGAAAAGGAATCTGTGGAAAAGGAATCAGAGGAAAAGGAATCTGTGGAAAAGGAATCAGAGGAAAAGGAATCTGTGGAAAAGGAATCAGAGGAAAAGGAATCTGTGGAAAAGGAATCAGAAGAAAAGGAATCAGAGGAAAAGGAATCAGAGGAAAAGGAATCTGTTCAATTTCGGTGCATGTCTCCAGTGTTACAGAAATTTTCTCATCCGTATCGCGCCCACGAAGGGCATGATAAAATTATGGGGGGAAAAAATTGGAAATTGAAAAAAAAAATTCTTCCCTCCGAGATAAGGCCGAGCAAACTCCTTTGTTCGCGGCCGACTCCGAGCTTTGAGAGGGAACAGAGCGTCGAACGAGCAGGGCCGACCAGGGCCGACGAGTCGGCTGAATTCTCGGGCTTGAGGGCTTCGGGGAATCCGCTCGGTTTTTCTTTTTTTCCTTTCTTTTTTTTATTTTCTTTTATATATATTTTTTTTCCTTTCCTTTTTTCGTCTTTCTTTTCTTCGTCGCTTGCTGTGTTGACCGTTTAGGATTAGCGGGGAAATGATGACTAACAAATTATTATTTTTTTATCATTTATCATTTTCGAACGTGCGAAACGTGCACAGAGTGAAGTAAGTGACTTCTGGGACACCCTGTATCAGGGATAAGGATAAGACATGTGGATCATCCACAAATCCTGGGAAAAAATATATATATATAATCCAGTTTCGATGGTGGTCGTGAAAAAGAAAAGATAACCCGCCAATATTAATCATTATAATATTTAAAGCGATCAACAAAAAAAAAACAGGTTCATCAGCAATGCTCCTCAACGAAAAATTCTTGTTTCACACGCAAGCAGCAATATTTCCCAGAGCAATTCGCAATTTTTTTTTAGCAATACGCCTAATGGCAAGACTCGAACGCCCATGTTGCCCTGAGTGGAATAGAGAAAATTATCTGGCAACCGTGAAAGTACGAACGTCACGGCCAAATCGATCGCGAGAGACTTCTTAAATGCCGCTTCGCGTGATGGACCGGATAATCGAGAGACGGGCACGCAGCTCCCTTGATAGAGGCTGAGGGACGCGTCTTAAAAAATTAAAATAAAAAACAAATCATCGCAAATATTTATGATGAAAGACCTTACCATTTTTAACGGTGATGGTACATACCCAAGTTAATGAACGGAGTCCACCAGACAGTCCTCACCGAGATCGGGCTTCCCTCACCGAGATCGGGCTTCCCTCACCGAGATTGGCCGTACTCTTCGTTTTTTCCATTCCTTCCCCCCGGGAGCGGGACTGGTCCTGATGCTTCTGTCGGTTTAGAGACTCCCTTCGGGAACTGCGGGCCGAAATAGACCTATAATGAATACATCAATGCATCATGAATGCATGAGTTATTTCTAATGAATACAAGAATGAAAATTTCATTCCGTCTGCATCAGTTTCCAATTAAGGACTCAGACACGCTCCGCACCAGGTCCTCTACTCAAAAGTCATATGAAGCTCTCACGCATAGGGGACCCCCCCCCCCCCCCCCCTCACCCCCCCCTCCCTGTAGGGGCAGGCGGAGGTCCATGTCCCCGAGGGCGTGGAGCAACCGGGCGACCGCCTCGGGTCCCTGCCTCGCCTGCCACAGGTCGAGGATCACCTCGGTC